AATGATTGGGAATACAATAACTAGCACAATAAACAATTAAACATATATAGGTATGTTAAGCACTGAGAATTTTTATTTTTATATAATATAGCAACTCAGTCATGGTAGTTTGAACAAAACTATAATGTCAATGCATGAGATGGTAACCAATAAATGGTAAACTTAAAATAGCGCCAGTGCCTCATTCGGAAAAATTCTTATCATTTTTATCAATGCCCAGATGCTCAAAAGGAATGGTGTGAAGTAAATAACATCCATGTTTATAGAATTGAAGAAGCAAGGTATTACCTTACAGCTAAAGAACCAGAGCAACGTGTAGCACACATTCCCCCTATCGTTGCTCCTGGCCCTGCCAATTAGGAAGGTTTTATTACGTAGAACTTGAATATATAAATGATAAATCTCTTTGGTTGATTAAGGCTACGAGAGTGAGCAAATCTCAATGTTTAGAAATAACCTGATTCAGGAGGATTTTACTAGTATTTTCTTTCTTCACATGAAACCACTCAAATGACTATATAGCAAGCAGATATTTAAAACCAAAAAAAAAGGATATTTACTCGTAACTCGATTTCAAGCATCATCCAAAAACAGAAGAGCTAAAGTAAACACAAAAGTTATGTTGAAGTTGAAAACTATATAAGCACTGACTGATAAAGATCAAAAGAAGCTGACCTGGATGATATAGAGTGGCGAATGGTGGAGGCGGAAGGACCGAGGAGTGACGACTCCTCGTGGGGTCGCGTCGGCGTGGCTAGGGTTGAAAAGGGGCTGGATTGTTCTGAATCTTGTAAGTTATGATTTGTTATACGTTTATAAAAATTCTAAACACTTTCTCTGTGTGAAGGGAAGCAAAGAAGAAAAAGAGAAGCAAATGCCGTCATCACCTGGTTCTCGGTCCGGTTGGAGTTGGAGGAGTTGCCAGTCATGGAAAACGGAAGGTAAGAATGAAAACATTTCCTCTTTTCTTCATTTAATAATTATAAAAAAAATTGGGCCTAAAATAGGCTCCCTCTGGTTTTGGGCTTGAGGCGCATGCCTCATTTGCCTCCCCACAGGACCGGCCTTGATGATAGGTATCGTCTTCGTCTTTCCTCTGACGGATGGAAGGCAGAAGGTTTGCTTAAGGCGTCCTATTACGTTCCTCATTATAAGGAATATGAAGGCAGACCTACTAGGTTTTACAAACTGGACGATGAAGATGAGAGCTTACCCTTCTCGAAGGAATCAAAGAAATCCCATTCTTGACATCTTTATCCAACAAAAAATGAAAAAGTACAATAGGTAAGTTGATCCCACGTATCAATTGCATAAGCATATGACCCAGATGAAGCTGAAGAAGGTGATCGCATCACTAAAATCCAAAGCCACTACTTGGTACCTTTACTGGGAGCTGACTTGGCGACGCTCTTGTTACTACGATAATTGATATAAGGCAAGAAGAAGGAGAATCACTTAAGAGCTTCTCTGCTAGATTCAGTACTGAGTTTATTGCTTAGGAAAGTATAGAGGACAAAAGGGAGAAGGAAGCTCTGTTGAATAGGCTACAAACAGAAACTCCCTTCATAAGGGAGATTTGTAACTGTTTCGCGTGGATTATTGCTAACAGTTAAAAGAAAGGTCCAAACGATTGTGTAAGGAACAAATCTCTTGAGACAAAGTCCAAAAAGAGGTGCTTTATTTATGAAAATTACAATTGGAAAGAAGCAAAAAGGCCTCCAAGGGGCACAAGCACACGAAGTAAATTGAAAGTTTGCAAATAGAAAGTAAATGAATTGCAATTACATATTCTCTGTTAAGAGTGTTAGATTTGGGGTCCCTCCTTCTATGTCTTCTTTTCCTTTTTATATTCATTTGCCGATTTTCTCTTGTAGAACTGNATTACAATTGGAAAGAAGCAAAACGTCTCCAAGGGGCACAAGCACACGAAATAAATTGAAAGTTTGCAAATAGAAAGTAAATAAATTGAAATTATATATTCTCTGTTGAGAGTGTTTGATTCGGGGTCCTTCATTTTATGTCTTCTTTTCCTTTTTTTACTCCTTCGCCGATTTCCACTTGTAAAACTGCTTGGAAACTGTTTGACGCTCTATAACTACCCACTTTCTTCGTGATGGCTGACTTGTCAAAGAACTGCCGTTAGCAACTGTTGTTAGTGTTCTTATTGTTTAACCGCTTGTAACTGAGATTCTTGGATCGTGGGGTGTGATAAGGTTGCTCAATAACTGCTTCAATAACTGAACAAAATGCTACATTTATCCAGACCTTGGGCGTCTCGAAGGTTTGGGCGAAAATGAGACCGTCGTTCTGAGCGACAATGGGATACTTCATTCACTCAGATCCTGGGCATTCCGCAGGCTTGTGCGATGATAGTCCTCTACTCGTGGGCTGTCATTATATTTTACAATGGTCTTATTTGGGCACATTCCTCAATTTCCCTAACTAGGCTCCATTTCTTGGACCACATAATTGGGTCTGACTTAATAATTGAGCCTCATTTTTGTATGTCAATACTCGTGTTTTCCTCCAAAATCTCTTTTTAATAGAGCCCAAATGAGGGTTAAATTAATCAATTTATCATCCCAAACTTTCAACTTAATAAATAAGNCTTTGTTTGTGGGCTTCTTACCATTTGGTTGGGCTTTCATCTTGGATTCTCAACGGGCTTCACTCTTTGGGCCATTTAATTTGGGCTGCACTTTTAGTGTGTCAACAATTACCCCCCAATATGGTAGAATTAATATCAATTATTATTTTTTGCCATATTCTTCCTTTGTATTTTCCAGCAATACTTGAAATTTCCAAGAATTTCAATCATTATTTCCGTTTGGTGGTAACCCTTCTTCAACCTGAAAAGTGTAACATTATACCCCTATAACCCAAAGACATGCCATTTCATCACGCCATTACATTCACGTCTTTACATCGTGCTCCTCTATAAAGATCACTGTTCATCATCTTACTTCTTTGCTATGTTTCTCAAGGACTTTCCACAACAGCCTTATTTTATTGCAAATGGCGACTTTACAAACTCCTTCCGATAAATCCTTCAGTCTCGAAGATTTCCAAAACCTCATCACCAAGCCTTATGTAAGCTCAAACTCTCTTTCACAAGCCTGCCTTGACAACAATGAATCCTACCTCAGTTTAATGATGCTGAATCGATTGGGTAGGCGGCGGTGGGTCAGTTGTTCCCTTGTAGGGAAAACTCCCCCTTTCTGAACTCTTTGCCATTGAAGCCAATCCGCAAGAAAGGTATTCGCACTTAGCCCAAAACTGATGCTAGTTTTCGTAGATGGCATGCACGTATGGTGAATTATGGTCCCACCAAAGCTATTTTTGATCATGCTAAAATTTCAGATTTATTAGAAATTACTCTCCAACTCCCAATTTATGACCCAGTGCTTTTTCCTATTGCTCTGAGTTTTGGTCGTTCAGAGTACAATACTTTTGTCCTCCCCCTTGGCCCAATGTCTATTACACTAAGGGATGTTGGAGCCCTAGTAAACCTTCTACCTTTGGGCGACACCATTTTTCCTGGCATTTTGATTGCTGGTGTTGCCCCAAAGTTTGACAAAAAACTCACTGAGTCATATTCAGGCATGCAAGGCCTTTATACTGCTTTTAATTCTGAACCCTCTCATGTTGAGCGTGTGGCCTTCCTTCAGGTCTGGCTTTGTAAACATGTTCTTTGTGTCTGCAGCCTGAAGCTTTCTATGAGTTATTTACCTATCACGCATGAGTTGGCACGTGGTAGGTCTTTGAATCTATGTTCTTTCTTTTTAGCCGCCTTTTATAGAGGCATGACTTCCTTTCAATCTCAATTAAAGAATGGTGCATCTCCCACTGGAAGTGGGCCCATTTGGCTAGCTCAGCCAGAGACTTCCTCCACTTCTCCTATTTTGGCCACCATCGTGTCCATTATGAATCATTCTTTACCTGCTCGTACTAAACATTTGACCCTTCCATCTACTTCTCCTCCAACTCGAGCTAGTGTAGCCAAAGGTGCTACTAACCGTAAATGACCAGCCCTATCTTCACCAATTTTGCCAGATGATGATGATGATGCTCCTCTTATCGTCGGGAGAAAGGTATTTGAGCCTATTTATTTTACGCACCAAATTATTCTTCATAGGCTAACATTATAGTTGAATTTTCAGAAGAGTTCAACTTCCTCCTCGAAGGCTCTAGTCTTAGCAGCCTCTGCTCCATCACTTCTCGCTGAAGTTGTTCCATCTAAGTCATCTGTTGCCGGAACTCTAATTCAAGAGAAATCTATAGCCTAGAGTCTTCGGCACAATTAGTTGGAGTGCTGCCACCTTCCTAGAGCGTTGACCCCCGAAGTGTTGAACCAGAAGGTAATACATATTTTAATATCTTTACCCTTGCTTATACTATTAGCATTTGATTCATTACTTTTTGAATTCTGCAGAGGTCTCCATGGATCTGGCCGTTGTGGCAGAGTCTACTCGTCCAGGTAAGGAGAAGTCTCTACAAGTGGCTGAGTCAATCAGTAACGTGCCTGAACTTTCCGAAGTTGCTGATAAGGTAGCTTTTGTTTCATTCTTCTCTTCATTTTCTGTAGTGAAAATGCTAAATGCTTGCATTTTTCTTTACAGGATGCGGATGCCATTGTGCGTTCTATCTGGGACTTGTTCACTTCTTGGGGACAATTAAAGACATCTTGCCCTTCTTCAACCAGTCGTCCTTCTGCTTCATCTTCTGCTTTCTCGGAGGAATATATGAAGACTCTCAAGCAATCAGTGTTTAAATATGTTTCTTTTATGGACATGGATATCGCAAGGCTAGTGCTACTAAACAAAAAGATAAATTTGAGCTTTTGAGTGTGAAACTGGCGCAAGCACTTAAACTTCCATCGACGTTGAAGATTATCCATTCTGAAATCATCTCTTTGTTAGCCAAAAATGTTGAATTGAAGGCCAAGAGTACTCAGTATCTTTATGCTGTATTTGAAAAAAAGTCTTTGCTTCAAGAGAATGATAAAGCCGAGGCTGAATTAAACTAAATTTCCTCTGAAGTTATGATTGAAGATTCTTTGATGATAAGTTTAGTTGCAGAGATGAAGGAACTTCAAGCGAAGATAGACGACTGTAGGGCTAGGATGACTGCTAAAAAGTGTAATGCTTCCCAAGGAATTGAGCGAACCAAGTCTTTGGTTGAGTGTAATACAAAGCTAGAGGTTGATGAGGATGTTGCAACTGAGTTGTCTACTATTTTTTCTAAGTAAAGCGAGGATTGGGGGAAGTTTAGGGAACAAATGCGTTCAGCTTGGGGTGAATTGTAGCTAAGATATAGATGCCTTTATTTTCTTTGTAATTTTGTACTGGCAGCTACTATTAATTCGAATGTAACGGCAGCCAATGTTATTAATGGAACAACTATTTTATTTATTTACGTATTAATTGACGTTTTCTTCAATCATCAACCCCCAAGCATTTAATTACTTTATGCTAAACTTGTATACATTTCCCTTCATGGAATTTTTACACGGAGCAAAACTTTTGGCATTCCAATCTTCTTTTCCAAGATATTGGGCGATTTAATTTCGGTTACTAGGCATGTAAGTGGCCATTCATATTCCGCATTTTTACCTTCACACCTCTATAAATGCGTGTATGATACGCATTTGTTATCATCTTCATCCTCCGCAAAATCAACTTACTTGCCATTGTTTGGCCTTTCAAATAATTAGCCAACTATCTCCTCCTGCAACAGAAATGGATTATTTGATTTGTTGTCCATTTCACTGTCTGCCTTGATGTCACCTTTGGTATGGAAGATATAGGAAACATTCTTTGGCCAATAAATGTATTCTCAGTACCTCTATTTATGTTCTCTAGAGCGAGCTCTTTGATGGAAGGCGATTTGCGAATGCTTTTTAGGCAACTTGCCTGTTGAGAGTGCTTCTCAACCTCCTTGCCTGCTATTGCAGCAATGCAATTAGGAAGGTGGTTTGAGAATGCTTCTCAGCCTTTTGCTTGCCATTGCAGCAATGCAATTAGGAAGGCGGTTTGAGAGTGCTTCTCAACCTTTTGCCTGCCATTGCAGTAATGCAATAAGGAAGGCGGTCAAGGCCGGTTCGCCCTTTTTTTGTAATTGATAGAAGAATGATGACAACTTGCTCCCAATTGCTGCTTATAGAGCATCTTGTATTTTG